ATATGAGGCTAATGAAAATACCATGATTTGGGTCAGGTGCATTTTAGTCCTCAAACTTACTATCTTTGCTCTTTAGCACTTTAAAGAGGACTTTTGTAGCATATTGCCTAACGCAGTATGTCCTTTGATTTCTTGACTGTTGCTTCCATGAGTTGATTGTAGGTTGATTAATTTCTAGAAATTATTATTAATGGTCACATCTCAATTTCTCCTCCCTTCTTACTCAATGTTGCTTGTTAAGTGCCATTAAGTTGGTTCTGATTCATAGGAACCCTGAATAGGGTTTCCAAGGAGCGGCTGGTGAATTTGAACTGCCAACCGTTCAAACTGACCTTGTGGTCCACAGCGTCACATCAGGATTCCTTCTTACTCAATAGCAGTATTCTGTTTTGCTAATTTACAGGTTGAATGGCCTCTCATTTCTTTGATAACATGCCATATCTTTAAAACCATTACCTCTCCAAATATTAATTCCTGATTTAAACAGCGTATGCCTGAGTTTCAATTATTCAATTAAGTATTATATTAATTTTCTAACAAATTCCAGGCACAGTACTAGGTTTTGAGTAAGTCTTTGAAGTGGTTCTAACCAGTTCAGTCATGGCTGAAAAGCAAAACCAGAATAGACTCAAATTTTCAAAATTTGTGTGATCGGAAACAATCACTGAACAGGAAAAATTACAGGTCACAGCCCTGGGATGGGAAACTCAGAAGAGGCATAACGTGAGCCCTTTTAGGAGCCTGATGGATGAGGTTGGATTATTGGCAGGAATGTGGAGAGCTACACACATTCAGAACCATCTTTGAGCGGGCATCGTTGTTTCTGACTCTGCTCAAAATCCAAAAGGCAAGAAATTCAGCTGCTATGCAACATGTCAACTGACCTTGTTTGCAAAAGAGGAAGATTAAAGCTGCTACAGAAAATTTTGATCTGTAATACTTCCCGTTCTGGTTCATCCAAATTTAAAACATTCGGGTCTGTCAACTAGAGAAAAGTGTAGGCGAATGTTGTTGAACTGAGTCAGTTCAGAACGACAGCTACCCTGTGTAGGGTTTTTGAGGAGCAGCTGGTAAGCTCGAACCACCAACCTTGCGGTTCAAACCAACTTTGTAGTTGAGCACATTAACCCACAGTGCCAACCTGGTGTGGGAGAATGGAGTAAACTATATAGGGTCCCCACCAGATTCAAGATGATGATGATGATACTGATTAACCGACAGTTCACATTTATTGAGTGCTTACTATCTGCCAGGTACTGTTTTTTTGCACTTTGCAGGCAGTATCTCATGTATTTACAATCTCATGAGTTAAGCATTTTTGCTTCCTCATTTTCTTTAAGAGAAAACTGAGGCACAACCTGTGCCGTAAGTCTTAGCTGTAGTTAGGTTGTTAGAGGTGACTTAGTCTTTCTATAAAATAGCAACACCCACTACATTGTTGTTATTGCTGTAAAGTGCCGTCAAGTCAGTTCCGACCCATAGTGACCCTGTAAGGGTTTCTGAGGAACAGCTGGTGAGCTTGAACCGCCAACCTTGCAGTTCAAACAGCTTTGCAGTCTGACACATTAACCCACAGCGCCACACCAGGACCCACTACATTACAGCCTCGGAAATCCTATGCAGGGCTGTTATGAGTCAGCACTGACTCCATGGCACATAACCACCATCACTACTACATTACATTGATGTTGGATAATTTAAATGTTTTGTTTTTTCTCCAGGTTTTTCTATTTATAATTTCTTTTATTTATAATTTGATTTTTGTAGCTGTTTAAGAACTAGAGAATACAAACAACAATTACATTCTTTTCCTAAAGACTGGATATCTAAAAATACATTTAAGTAACATGATGATAAAAGAAATGTATTTCAATTTTGGGAATGATCCATGAGAATTGCTTTATTTTTCTCTGTATTTATTTTGGAGTCCTAGTGTGGTGCTAGAGGATAATGCAATGCACTGGACCACAAGGTCAGTTCGAACTCACCAGTTGCTCCTCAGAAACCCTATATAGGGTCGCTGTGAGCCGGAACTGACTAAATGGTACTTAGCAACAATATATTTATGTTTGAAAGACATTGCCAGGGAACAGCATAGACACTCTATTCTACTCTATCCTGTGTTGTGCTCTATAGAACATCAGGCTACTCTCTGCGCCCAGAGATTGGAATGGTGGACAACAAGTCTTCTGATAGTGCACTTTTTAAGTAAAAAAAAAAAAAAAAAAAAAAATTTGAGCACACCCAAAAGCAAACAAAACCCGATCCGTTCATTTGCTTCCTTGGCCATGACTAACTGTGAAGAACTTGTTTGAAGCCCTGGTTTTAAGTGATTAATGCACAAAATGCTACTCCTCATAGAGTTTGTGTTCTAGTATTTACCAGAAGAGAGTAAATCAGTAAAACATGTGCTTTCTGAATCAGTCTTTGAGAAGGGTACCTAGCTCAATAATTTTGTAAGGATTCAAGGAGTGGGTGCTATTCTGATTTATGAACAATGAAAAACAGACTGAGGAGAACAGGTCCAGCAAACGGTTTCTCTGTACTTTGGGCATGCTGTCAGGAAGAAGCTGCTCTTGGAGAAGGGCAGCACTCTTGGGGAAATGCAGGTTCAGTGAAGGAGAGGAAGACCCTCAACGAGACGGATTGACACAGTGGCTCCAACAGAACAATTGTGAGGATGGCAGGGAACCTGGCAGTGTTCTCTTCTGTTGTAGGGTTGAGGGTTGCTATGAGTCGGAATCGACTCCCCAGCTCCTAACGACAATCTTTAAGGAAGCAGAGTACCATATCTTGTTCCCATAGAGCAACTGGTAGGTTTGAACCAATGACCTTTCGGTTAGCAGCTCCTTTGGTTAGACCACCGGGCTCCCTTGTACAAGGGAAGTGCTTTGTCATCTGTGAACGTCCGAAGTTAAGCTTTGTAACTCCGGAATACGTAACATGTTTTATGTTCCTATCTAGTGAGTTATCAGTTGGGATTGCCCTTCGCTGTACTGGACCACTAGATTATGGGCTCGTTAGTCTTCGGACCACATTTAAAGGCCATTTAATAAGCTGACAGGTTATTGGGTCACCACCTGAGGGTTACTGAATTAGATTCTCAGAAGTAGGGCCTTGTAACTTGAAAAACTTAACAAGCTCCCCAGGTGATGTTAGGGTGGATGTAAAGCTCCAGTCTACAGAGATGTTTTAGAAGTATGATTAGATGAGCTGGGTTCTAGTTAAGTACTATTGGTTCTGACTCACAGTAATCCTGTATAGGGTTTCTAAGGAGAGGGTTTGAACCATCAACCTTGCGATTAGCAATCCAGTGCTTATCCTACAGCACCACACTAGGACTCCCTTGTTATATTGCTAAGTGCCATGGAGTTGGTTCCAACTTATAGCAGTCCTGTATAGGGTTTCAGAGGCTAGTGGTCTGAACAGTTAGCAGCCCAGTGCTTATCCCACAGTGCCACACCAAGACTCCCTGTTATAGTACCGAACTCTGAAAGAGTCCTTGAACAAGAAGAAACCTTAAAAGGTCACCCAATCTATTTCCTTACCTCTAAAAAGCAAAATGGAATGAATTCAGACAGAAGATGAAGGCGATTCTACTAGCCTTCCCATCCTCTTGTCTAGTCAAACCTGTCACTCCTACTCTTCAGAATGTTTCCTCACATGGATCCTAAATTCTTTCCACTAAGTCCTTTCTTTCTTGGAGCCAGTTACACACAGCCTCTGCAACCTGCCACTCACACCCAGAACATAGCTAACCCAAGTTGAGTTTAGTCCCGTTGTTGTTGTTAGGTGCTATCAAGTGGATTACAATTTACAGCGGACCTTATGCACAACGGGAGGAGACATAGCCTGGGCCTGAGCCATCCTCAAAATCGTCAAGTTTGAGCTCACTGCTGCAGCCACTATGCTAGTTCATCGTGTTGGGGGGTCTTCCTCTTTTTTCCCTGACCCTCTAGAAAGCTCCATTTTAATTTTCTCTCTGTTCAGGAGAACCTTGATCAGACAAAGACGATCTGCTGTGTAAGAACCTGAGGGATTCCACTTTCCTGAGAAACAGAAGACGAAATGTAAACTGAGGGAAGTTCCTAAAGAGAGACTAAAACTGTGGAGTCCTGGTGTGGGGCTGGACGATCAGAACTGGACTGCAACTCTCAAGGTCGGCGGTTCAAACCCAATAGCCATTCCTCGTTAGTCGTATGCAGGGTCGCTATGAGTTGGAAGCAACTCTACGGCACTTAACAGCAAGCTCCATGGATCGGTAAATTGCAAAGGGGACTCCAGAGGGTGTTTCTATAATACAAAAATCGCTATGACACATCTTTCACACCCCAACTGTCGTGGCAAACCAATTATGGAGTTACTTCGGAGGTGAAACCCTTGCCTGGGATTGCCTCGGACTTTTGGCATAACCTTCACTGAACGGCGCGGGAAGCGGCTCCAAGCCACTACAAGTAGGAAGCTGGGTTCGGGCTTCCGCTGCCAATATCCAAGATGGCGGCACGAGAGTCGCTGCCACTAGGAGCACATGCTTCGCGCCACTTGGGGTCTCACTGAACTTTTGCAAGTCACAGTGGGAACCCTCAAGAGCGGGGTTCTGCGCTCCAGAGGCCATGCCACCTACCACTCTCTGCCCTAGGCCCTCATTTCCAACCCGAAGAATGCACTGGAAACGCCTAAACTGTATACTACCCTCATTTCCCAGAGAGTAACACCTCCTGCATTCGCGTTCGGCGGAAGGGTCCAGAATGCTAAGCAGTGAAGTGTTCGTCCCATTCATTGGTGAGACCACGCTGCGAGGCGGGCCTAGACATCCATTGGGCCGTGAACCCTGTCAGTCTTGAGAGATCGGGCACGTGGAGGAGGAGACGCAATTATCCATTGGGCTCTCTTTTCTGTCAATCAAAGCTACATCCGGTAACCGCTACGCTCTCGGCTTGTTGATTGGAGAAACCTGTTACTGGGTGGCCGCGGAGGGCGGGATTCCGAGTGCGGTGGGAGGAGGGGGCGGGGAGGGAAGCGGAGGCAGGGGAGCTCTAGGCCGGCCGGTGGTGGCGGCGGCGAGCCCGGGATTCGGGCTGAGGGCCTACTGTAGCGACAGCAGTGGACGCCGAGCACAGTCAGCGGGTATCGGGCACATCCCTTCCCCTGACGGGAGGGGCGCAGCGCCTCAGGGCCGAGGCCTATGGGGTGAGGGGCGGCGGGGTGGAGCTGAGGGGCTGGAGGCGGGAGCGGGCGGCCGAGGGGGTCGCTCGTCGGGGCCCGGGCCTGGCGGGGAGGGGCCGCAGGGCCGAGAAGAAGGCCGGCTCCAGGGTGGGCTGGCCTGGGAGGCTTGAGGGCACGGGAAGGCGTGGTGGTAGGCCCGGGCATGGGAGCGGGGTGGGGCTTGAGGGACGGAGGGCGGGGTGGGGTAGCTTTAAGGGTGGGTCAAGGCCAGGGAAATAAGCACTAGTTCGCCGCTTCCCCAGAAGGCTACAAGTCCAGACGCCGAGAGTGGGCATGGCGACTTGGTCCCAGCCGGACTCGGGTATCCGGGGCAGGGTGGGACTGGCCCCGACTCAGACCAGGGCTCTCTGGCCCTACTAGATCTTGAAGGGACTTTGTCTAAACGTTTCGCGAACTTAATTGGCTCTTGGAAGGTGTCAGTACTATTTTGCGTAAGAAGGAGAGAGTAGGAATTTTGGGTCGTAATTGTGTTTACTCTGCCCAAGCGGGAGTGGGTGGCTTCGTGTTTGTGTGTGTATGAGAGAGAGAGACACACACACACACACAGACAAGAGAAGGTGGCTGATGGGTCACAACAGTGAAGACGAGAAGGGTCTGTTTTGGTTTCTGAAACTAATGGCAGCTCAGATGTAGAGACTAGAAACTGAAAGTCTTGAGAATTTGGCCAGATCCTACTGGTTGGCTTGGAAGGTGAATGAAAATAAAGCCTGTTCATCCCTCTTTTTTCCCCCAACGTGGGAGTGATAGGAGAGGGAACTCAGATTTCAGAGTTGGGCAACAAAAGGCATTATTCTCTTGTGTCAAGTGGTGGCCTGATTGTTGTCCCCTTGTCCTTGTACACCCTCACACATTACATTAATAATTTTGCCGCCTTGCCCTCTTGCCCCCATTAAACTGGAAGGGGCAAGGATTGTAGGCATTTTTCTCCCGAGAGGGGATCCAGTTTTATTTTAAAATGGGAAATTGTCTTCTCACAGTATATTTTAGAGTGTTGGAGGTAGAGATAGTAAGTCAGACAACATGTAAATATTTTGGATGCTTTGGGCATTGTCTTCTTAACCCAAGTAAACTACTTTTTAGGATATTGAAATTGCATATCTGGTAGTTGAGATCCTTGGTGAATGAGAATCTTCCTTTTATAATCATTTAGTCTATAAACAAGACTCCTGGTGTGGCACTGTTGGATCAGCACTGGACTGTGAACCACAAGGTCAGCAGTTCAAACCCACCAGCTGTTCCTTAGAAACCCAATACAGGGTTGCTATGAGTCAGAACTGACTCGCCCGCACTTAACGAGTCTATAACATGATCTGTTTACTCGTTATTTGTTTGTCTTGGGGGTTATAGTAAGTGATTTATTTTTCCTCCAGTAAAAGGGGCCTTAAAGTATGTTTCCTACCTTCTACCCTGAAACTTTTCCCAATTTCGATCATGGCGTGCAAAGCATGCAAGCTTATCCTGTTGCTTTTGTGATTCCCATTTCAGGTTTCTCTGGAAACCCCCCTGGTAAGTGTGGAGGAGGCGGGACACTCTGACCCAAGACAAAGGCCTGTAGCTCCAGCCAAAGAAAATAAACCTTAGGAGGGAGAAGGAAAAAAAAAATCCATCAGCTGTTCCTGAGAACAGCCTGCAGTGGAATCTACAGAGAGGACAGCTAATGGGAGTGAGGAAGTGACTGTGGATTGTGGAGACTAAGGCACGGGGGCCAGAGGGCCTGGACTGAGTTAGCAGCAATTGCGCTTTCAGAGGTGAGGTGTCAAGAAGGGAGAAGTGAATGAGGTCTGGAGAGAGGTCTTGGCAGCTCAGGGTGTGCTTTCCTCCCAGGCCATCAGGGAGCTCAGCCCCTGTGTTCTGCACGGGTGGGGTGCAGGGTCTGGCCCTGAGGAAGGGAACTTGTTGGCTGGAGCACCAGAGCAGTGGCCTTGATTGGTGTCTTGGAAGATTTAGAAACCCAAAAGTATAAACATTCTGGTCCTTCAGCAATGCTTTCTCTGAAGAAATACTTCACGGAAGGACTCCTCCAGTTCACCATTCTGCTGAGTTTGATTGGGGTGCGGGTGGACGTGGATACTTACCTGACCTCACAGCTCCCCCCGCTCCGGGAGATCATCCTGGGGCCCAGTTCTGCCTACACTCAGACCCAGTTCCACAACCTGAGGAATACCTTGGATGGCTATGGTATCCACCCTAAGAGCATAGACCTGGACAATTACTTCACTGCCCGGCGGCTCCTCAGTCAGGTGAGGGCCCTGGACAGGTTTCAGGTGCCGACCACTGAGGTAAACGCCTGGCTGGTCCACCGGGACCCGGAGGGGTCTGTCTCTGGCAGCCAGCCCAGTTCAGGCCTCACCCTCGAGAGTTCCAGTGGCCTCCAAGATGTGACAGGCCCAGACAACGGGGTGCGAGAAAGTGAAACGGAGCAGGGATTCAGTGAAGATTTGGAGGATTTGGGGGCGGTAGCCCCTCCAGTCACTGGAGACTTAACCAAAGAGGTTAGTGTTTCTGTGGCGAGTGGGTGGGACCCGGGGGTAGAGGGCGGTGGGCTGGTCCTGAATGGATTGTGGTAATAGCGCTAATCTCAGGTAGGTTCCAGGGGAGTCTCAAGCATTGGCCTTGGATGGGGATGGGCTGCAATATCTGACGTTTAGGTGAGGTTTGGCGGCTGGGAGTATTTCCCTGTGTTGAACCATTGACTTACCTCTAAATGTACTGTCAGGGCAGTGGGAGGTTCCTAGAACATGCCAGCTTGTTTACTGCTTGGATTTCAACATGACTCCTGGAGGCTGAGACTGGGGGAGGGATCATGTTGTGATGGGCTTTGATGCAGTGTGTATCTGTTGCTAGGACACAAATACTTGTGGACTCCTGCCTTGTACTCCCTCCCCCACTTCAAAACGCCACACTCCCATACCCTGAAGTTCGCCTCCTTTGTGGTCAGGCCTGTTGTGAGGCCCGGATAAGTCTGCTTTCCTGGGCCTGAGCCAGGGGTTAGATTTGGAGAGTTATTCCTGGCCTAGAGAGGGCCAAGGTTCCCATTTGCTGCAGGCCCACTGCCGGTAGCAGGGAGGAGAGGGCTGGGAACTTGAAGAGAAGCTGCATTCTGCTGGTCCTGTGTAGTGGTAGAAGAGTTTCGCTTCTGTCCTGTGGCTGTTGTGCTGTTCTGGCCAGAGTGATGCAGCTGCCTTTAACCATGTGAATGGCCTCTGCTCTCCTACCTCACTAGCACAACGCTAAGACTGCTGTTTATCTGGCTCTGGCTTGTCACCCAGCTTGCCTTAAGGAGCTTGACCTAAAGGCCAACTCCACTCTCCTGGCCACTAGGGATGAAGGCTGCATTGGGCCAGGCTTTCCAGAGGGAGTGGGGATGCTGAGAAGGAGTGTGGAAGAAGCTCCATAGAGCTGGAGAACTTGATTCCTCTGCCCACCAGGTCAGATAAGGTTTTGCCTTCCTCTCTGCACTCCAGCTGTTCCTGAGCCCAGTTCTCTGAATGTTGAGACTATTAAAGATATGGCTCCTCTAGACCAGTGTTCCTCAACTGGGGGCAGTAGGGTCCCCCTGGGGATGTTTGACATTATCTGAAGACGTTTATGGTTCTCAAAGCTGGCATGTGGTGGGAAGAGACAAGGCACACTGTGAAATGTTTGAAAATGCATAGAGCAGCCCCCCTACCCCCCAACAGATTTGCCCAGCTGTGAATAGCAGTTGTTCTAAGGCTGAGGAATCTTGTTGGATGCTCAGCTTGCTCAGGCTCCACTGATTTTGAGAGAATTTTTTGAAGGGCTCTGGTGGTGTAGTGCATAAGTGCTCAACTGCTAACCGAAAGAAAGGTCAGTGGTTGGAACCCACCAGCGCCTCTCTATGCGGGAAAAAGCTGTGGCAGTCTTGGAAACCTTGTGGGGCAGTTCTTGTCTGTCCTGTGAGGTTGCTCTGAGTTGGAATTGACCTGAAGTTATCTGGGGCACAGGTGGCAGAAGTAGTTCTTACCCATCAATGCTGCTTCTCTGAGGTTCTTACAGTGCTCCGTGGTGCTTTACCTCTTCTGCTTGCCTATCGTCTTCCCTTCCCTTCAAGTGAGCTCCAGTCTTGGCACAATGCTCTGAAGAAGGGTGCCTCTTGTGTGGCTCTCCAAAGGGTGGGTGTACCAGGGCCTGCTTCTGGGAACCTGGGCAGGGGACCTGCATGACAGCTCAGGTCCTGTCCTATAGGCGTGCTCTTGGGGTGGGCCAGCATAGGACCTTGGAGCTATAGTTGGGATTTGGACCAGGCTTTCCGAGCAAGTTCTGCTCTCTGTTTCTGGACCCGTGTGAATGCTGGGCTTTTCCCTGACTCCAGGTGGTCACTGTGCCTCTAGGGGTTAGGGGTGCCGGCATTCAGGGCCTCCACTGGGTGTGGGGGAAGGGAAGGTTATTATGTGTCTAGAACATTTCCTCAGCAACTCGGGGATAAAAATACCCGGGTCCAGAGCATGTGACAGGCACTGCTGGAGCTGGTATTATCCCTGGGGTGGCAGCACTCCCCCGCTGCCAAGCCTGTTCGATGGGCAGCCATAGCCCGGGCCCTGGTTGAGGATAGGATTCCCCTCAAGGTTGGCACTCTGCCCAGAGCAGGGGGTGGCCTGTTGACAGAGCTTTCCAGGCTAGGAGTAGTTGCGCCCAAGGAGAAGAACATCCTGTCTCCGCCCTGACCTTAGGCTCCTGGAACAACTGTGGGGGCCAGATTCGGGCCGCCTAGGGGTCTGATTGTGATGTGGAAGCATGGGCTGGGGTCAGACAGAGAACAGCATGGGGAAGTGGGGGACATACTGGTGGCCAGTGTCCCTCAGTGCACCTGTCTCCCCTTAGAGCAGGGCCATGGGGTTAAGTCTCCTACTCTGGCTTGAGGCTGGGCCTGGTGGAGAAGTGTCCCCCACACGTGTGCAGAAGACACATGGTGTTCACCCTTCCTCTAGTCTGCCTATCTTAGGTCTGGGTGTTCTGGACGTCCGCCAAGCGTGGCTTGTGATCCGAGGGCTTGAGAGCTGAGCTCAGGCCTGGGTCGGACCGGGAAAACGGCATCCACTCCCGGAAGAACTTCGCTCCCGGAGAGGCTACGGGAGGGGCAGGCTGCGACAGGAGGGAGTGTGGCACCCCTTCCCCCAGGACGCTCACTGCACCACCCCAGCTGACTGGCTGGGCAGGGTGGGGCCGCCCGCCCCTGGGTGCATCTCCTCAAGGAGACGGAGGCGGCCCCGGGCTGGGCTGCTTCCTGCGGCAGCTGCCCCAGCCGCCCCAGGGCGGAGATTGGCTGCCGGCTGCAGCTAGGTAACAGGCGGTGGGAGGGGATTGGCTCCCTGCGCATCTCCAGCGGAGGCTTGGGGGAGGAGATTGGCTCTCGGCGCAGCCTAGGTAACGACAGTGGGAGGGGATTGGCTCTTTTCGCAGCCCAGCTGCTGACCTGGGGGAGGGGATTGGCTCTCTGCAGCCTCAGCAGTGACCTGCGGGGGGGAAGGGGGAGGGGATTGGCTCCTTGCTGCAGCCTAGGTAACAAGTTTGGGGGGCGTGGGGAGAGGGAGCGGGGGAGGAGCGGGAGGCTAGGCCCAGGAGGGCGCTTGCTTTTCAATGCAGCTTGAGCCCGGAGCATGGGGTGGGAGTCCCAACTCACTGCAGCCTCTGCGGTGAGCTCAGGGTGGGGGCTGCCGGGTGCCTGAGTGGAACTGGGGTTGTGAGGTGGGAGGGGGCTGCTCAAGGATGGAGGAAGGGGGCTGGGCTGGGCCGCCCAGGCAGCAGCACGGGCGGGGCACCCTCCTCGGGCCCCTTGGAGCTAGCAAGGGGCCACCCTTCCAGCCTGGTGTGCTCCCCGCAAGCCAAGAGCTCCTTGCAGCCCCCTGCCCAGCTCCCTGGCCCCGGCTTCCCTGGGGCTCATCTCGCAGACCATGACCCGCCTGGACCGAAGCTCTCACAGTGGTGGGGGCCATGCCAAAGGGAGCCGGCCCCTTAACTCTTTGCTGGCTGGTCACCGGGTGGCCCAGCCCCCCTCTGCTCCTGGGTCCAGGGCTTCTGTTCAGGTTGGTAGATGTGGGGAGACTGTAGGGAGAGGAGGGTTCTGGTGGGAAAGGGTTCCCTGATTAGGTTTAGAGAGATGGGTCTAAGATACTGCTGTCTGGAAAGTGTCTGCTTTTTAACCCCTGAAAAAAAGGCAACAGTTTCTGTCCTCAGACTTGGTAGGGTGGGCTCAGCCACAGGGTTTGACGTGTACAGGAATCCCAAATGACTTGATTTGTTGGGGTTTTGTACTGGTGGCATTTGGGGTTGATGTAGGATCTGGTGGGAGGCATTTTGGTGACCAGGGCAGCAGTGGTGGCTGAGGAGTGATGCATGTTGTGTCCTTGAGTGGGCTGACTACCAGGGAGGCAGGAAGGCCTGGGGTGTGGTAAGGAAGGATGAGGGGACACAGTGGGGCTGCCCGGCGGGTGGGGGGGGGGTGACTGCTGGGATCAGCTGACTTTGCCTGAGGTTCTCCTGGGAGGAGGCAGCCTGCTGGGATCAGCTGAGAATGGGAGTTCTGGCAGGAATGGCTCTGGAGGTGAGCCTGGGCTGTAGAGTTGTGGGTGCTCAGTCTCTGCCAGGGAAGGGGAATGGCTGGAGGGAGGGCTGGAGATAGCCCCGCACAGTCATTGGTTGCATCAGGTGGTTGGAAATGCAGGGATTTTCCTTTCCAGCCCACCCCACCCCTTTATGCAAATGAAATGGCACCATAGGCTGATGCAAGCCTGGCCACTAAGAAGCAACTCTGCATGACAATTCACCCGTTGCCCTGGCCAGCTCCTTACAAACCGAGTTTGAGGGGTTCTCATTCCTAAAATGAAAAGTGTCTCTTGCCGCCCTTTTCTTGTGTAGGGGTGACGCGACCCTGCCTTCTGGCCTGAGTGTGCCTCTGGTCCAGATCCTAAGCCCACAGACCTATATGGTGATGGTCATGCTAGTGGGTTTTGCTTGTGGCTTTTTTGGGGGAGTGGGAGTGGTGTCTGGAAATGCATGCAGGAAACCTCGATGTTGCAGAGGGGCAGTTGCAGGGTTGGGAGAGGCTCCGCCCAGGACTAATTGGAGTGACAGGAGGGAGGGACCTCTGAGGAACAGGACAGGGAGGGGTCCCTGGGGCCTGAGAATAAAGTCTTGGTGGTCTGTCTTTCAGGACATAGATCTGATTGACATCCTTTGGCGACAGGACATTGATCTGGGGGCTGGGCGTGAGATATTTGACTATAGTCATCGCCAGAAGGAGCAGGATGTGGACAAGGAGCTGCGAGATGAAGGAGAGCAGGGGGACACCTGGCCTGGAGAGGGCACAGAGGCTCTGGCACGGAACCTGCTAGTGGATGGAGAAACCGGGGAGAGCTTCCCTGCACAGGTACCACCACCCACTTCTGCTTACCAGTCCTCCACTTCTCTTTAACCCTGCAAACATATAAATTGGGGTAGAACTCTTCCAGAAACGGCGCCTTCAGGAAGGCAGCCTATGGCAGTGGGACAGACCAGAATGTGTATTCTGTGATGGGGTCTACAAGTCATGGGGGCTGGGCTGGGGAGGGGATGTGGATGAGCAGCAGATACAGAGGGGTCAGGGCCTGGCAACAGCACAGAGCGGGCAAAGCCTCTGGCATCTTCCTGCCTGCTTTAGGATTCTTCCACCTCCCTTCTCTTGTCCTCGGAAGTTTGAGACTCAGGATCAGTCATTGTCCTAGGAATGGGAGGGACCAGCTAGCTCCTCTTACAAGTTTCCCACAGTGTTCACTTGGAAAGGCCAAGAGGAGGCCTCAGCCTGCAGGCAGCCGAGGCTCAGGTCAGTCAGACTTACGGTTGCTGTTGCCACAGGTGCCTGGTGGGGAGGACCAGACAGCCCTGTCCCTGGAAGAGTGCCTTAGGCTGCTGGAGGCCACCTGTCCCTTTGGGGAGAATACTGAGGTGAGCAGGACTCCAGGGAGAGCCTACTAAGCCGGGCTTCCTACACCTGGTGTGTTCCTCCATGGCTGGTTGAGGTGTCTACTCTCACTGCTGGTCTTGTCCTGGCTGCTGGGGGTGAATCAGAAAGGAAGACAGAAAACCAGGTGGTAGCCTCTGGGAGGAAAGCAGAAAGTGATTCCTCCTCCTCCCGTTAAAGCCTCTGTTTTGATCCCAGTTTCCAGCAGACATTTCCAGCATAACGGAAGTAGTGCCTACTGAGAGTGAGCCTCCAGCTCTTCAGAACAACCTTCTGTCTCCTCTCCTGACTGGGACAGAGTCGCCATTTGACTTGGAACAACAGTGGCAAGATCTCATGTCCATCATGGAAATGCAGGTAGGGCTGTAGGAACAAGGCACAAACCCCTCAGATGTGTTTTCCTTCCTCTGAGAAAGGAGGAGTAGCACGTTTCTGAGCCAGGTGTCTTCTGGGGGCTGCAGGGGTCAGGGGATAGACTAGCAGTCTGATGCTGGGCCTGCTCCTAGGTGTACCTTCCTCCTTGCCTTCAGGCTTCGCCACTTGGCTGAGTGTTAATTCTAATGCTACCTTACTTAAACTGCTTGTTAGTCATCTTCGGCTCACTTGGCCCTTACATTACAGTCCTCTAATTGACCAGTGCTGCTGTGGGTGTTTTTCACGGTGATGATTTTGCAGTAGAGGGGTAGTTAAGGTTATGTGTTACCTTACTCGCCTTTTAAGATGGGCCAAGTCTGACCAGACATGACCAGGACCCAGTCCTGTCCTGCATTTGGGGTGGAATCCACAGGAAGGAGCTCATCTCTGTCAGACCTGGTAGACCAAGCTGGGCTAGGAGTTGACCCTGTGGGTTTCTAACACCAGGGAGCCTGCAAAGTATGAACCCTCCCTCCCACACACACCTGGAGAAGAGGGGTCTACTCGTCAGGCTCCAGAACCATGATACCTCTTTTCCTCTCCCAGGCCATGGAAGTGAACACATCGACCAGTGAAATCCTGTACAACAGCCCTCCTGGAGACCCACTGAGCACCAACTACAGCCTTGCCCCCAACACTCCCATCAATCAGAATGTCAGCCTGCATCAGGCATCCCTGGGGGGCTGTAGCCAGGACTTCTCCCTCTTCAGCCCTGAGGTAGAGAGCCTGCCTGTGGCCAGCAGCTCCACACTGCTCCCCCTAACCCCCAGCAATTCCACCAGCCTCAACTCAACCTTTGGCTCCACCAACCTGTCGGGGCTCTTCTTTCCGCCACAACTCAATGGCACCTCCAATGACACAGCAGGCCCAGAGCTGCCTGACCCCCTGGGGGGCCTACTGGATGAAGCCATGCTGGATGAGATCAGCCTCATGGACCTGGCCATTGAAGAAGGCTTTAACCCTGTGCAGGCCTCCCAACTTGAGGAGGAGTTTGACTCGGACTCAGGCCTCTCCTTGGACTCGAGCCATAGCCCTTCCTCCCTGAGCAGCTCTGAAGGTAGCTCTTCCTCCTCCTCCTCCTCCTCTTCATCTTCCTCCTCCTCATCTTCCTCCTCAGCTTCTTCCTCCTTTTCTGAGGAAGGTGCCGTTGGCTACAGCTCAGACTCTGAGACCCTGGATCTGGAAGAGGCGGAGGGCGCTGTGGGTTACCAGCCTGAGTATTCTAAGTTCTGCCGAATGAGCTATCAGGATCCGTCTCAGCTCTCCTGCCTGCCCTACTTGGAGCATGTGGGCCACAACCACACATACAATATGGCGCCCAGTGCCCTTGACTCTGCTAACCTGCCGCCTCCCAGCACCCTCAAGAAAGGCAGCAAGGAGAAGCAGGCCGACTTCTTAGACAAGCAGATGAGCCGGGATGAGCATCGAGCCCGAGCCATGAAGATCCCGTTCACCAATGACAAAATCATCAACCTGCCTGTGGAGGAGTTCAATGAGTTGCTGTCCAAGTACCAGCTGAGTGAAGCTCAGCTGAGCCTTATCCGTGACATCCGGCGCCGGGGAAAGAACAAGATGGCAGCGCAGAACTGCCGCAAGCGTAAGCTGGACACCATCCTAAACCTGGAGCGAGACGTGGAGGACCTGCAGCGGGACAAAACCCGGCTGCTGCGGGAGAAGGTGGAGTTCCTTCGGTCTCTGCGGCAGATGAAGCAGAAAGTCCAGAGTCTGTACCAGGAGGTGTTTGGGCGGCTGCGTGACGAGCATGGGCGACCCTACTCACCCAGTCAGTATGCGCTCCAATATGCTGGGGATGGCAGTGTCCTCCTCATTCCCCGCACGCTGGCTGACCAGCAGGCTCGGCGGCAAGAGAGGAAGCCAAAGGACAGGAGGAAGTGAGCCTGGGGCAGAAGGGGTTGACGCTCACCAAGACCGAAACTGGAGAAGGGCTGGGCCTGAACCTGGACCTATAGCGAGGACTTTACTGCCTTCTTATTCACTATATCTTCTCAGATGGGATGACTGCGGGTCAGTGTATAGGAGAGGTGGGTGCAGGCGCTGTCTGGCTCAGTTTCCCCCACAAGGGTGGGGTGGAATTGGTGGACAGGGTCCTCACCTCTACCCATTTCCTTCAAGGGAAGGGGTGGTGCTGCCATTGCTGGATCCAGGTAAAGGAGCTGTGCTGAATAAAAGCTCATGGGGAAGAAGGGGTTTGGGAAAGGAGGGGAAGTAGTGGAAAGTCTTGTTCCGGGGAGGAAGAAAACCAACCTGAAAAAATCAAAGCGGGAAGAAAACCAAGGGAAGGTTCAATTGGGCTTTGGCCAGGATCCTAGGCAGCAGGTTTTAGTGACTCTGGTGGGACTAGGTTATTGGTGTGAGTGAACCCCATTTCACCCTGGGGAGGGGTAAGAGCAGGCTGGGAGAGGGGCTTTGTTAACTCTTTCTGCTCCCTCACTTTGATATCCCTGAAGGGGAGCTCCTGAATGTCCCTGTTCATCTTCAGTAGGCTGGGAGCCATGGGGACCCAACACTGGCTTTAAAGTTTAGGGTCAAAGGGCAGAGTGAGCAGGAGAGGGTCACAATGCCTCATTGCAGCAGCCCCAACACCAAGCATGTCACTCAACTGCTCGTCCACTTCCCTGTCCCTCTGCTTCAGCCATGGCTGAGGGAGGCACCCAGGGTCTCCACCAGAGCCTGCATGTGAATGCTGTACTCTTCCTCACCCTCCCTATCCCCCCTGCCCCCAACTGCCTATAGCTAATAGGTAGCTGGGCCTGCCTCTGAGGTTGAGGAGGATGAGAAGGGAGAAGCCAGTGTATAGATCTCCAGGCAGTATTCAGCACAACACTGGGGTGTGACCCTTCCCTTAGGCCTCCCTTACCAACTGGGCTTGTCATTAAAAAAAAAAACACCCTACACAACCCAGCCACAACAAAACTAGTCCTCTTAAGATTTCTTGCGCTTTGATTTTTTCGGGCGTGAGCCCTGTTTCACTTATAGGGTCTAGAATGCTTGTGTTGAGTAAAAAGGAGATGCCCCAATATTCAAAGCTGCTAAATGTTCTATTTGCCATAAAGACTCCGTGTAACTGTGTGAACACTTGGGATTTTTCTCCTCTGTCCTGAGGTCTCTGTCTGCTTTCTTTTTTGGGTTTCTTTCTAGGAGAATGAGAAGGTGCATGACATGGGGGCTGAGAGCAACTTTTCCCCAGGCTCTTCCCAGCCCCACCTCTCACCACCAGGGCTCCTGGAGACCCCTGGGGGCAGAGAAGCGGGTCCAGGACCTGTGTCTTACCTATTGCCACTGCTGCCGTCCCTGCCCAGCTCTGGAATACTCTGCCCCAGACTCTAGCTGGAGCAAGTTTTTGAGGGGAGCCCTGAGACACCTCTCCTCAGCTCAGGGTGTCTAACTGATCAGTGGGGATAGAAGGCCGGAGCCTGGAAAGTGCTTTTATAAATTATTTTCCTTGTAGATTTTATTTTTAATTTATCTCTGTGACCTTCCAGGGAGAGGAGAGGAGATGCTGTGAGCACATGACAAAATAAAAACAGATGATTCATTCTCAAGTGCAATTTTTCCCTGCTTTTGAGTTTAAATGGATGGTAAGGAAACAGGCCCCATTGTGTGGCAAAGGCAGAGCTCACCTGGGAAGATGGGTAGAGAGCAGGGAAGTTGATAATAGGGCCTCTTAAAAAAAAAAAAGACCAAAGTTTTCCATATTGTATTGACTCTTCCATGCAGGTGTTTTGTACCTCTTTACAGGGTATGCCAGCTGGTACTGTCTCAGGAAGGGCTCAGAATTCTTCCACCTCCCTCCAGAGCTAAGTGCGGTGCTCCATCACCTGGCCCAGCTCCTTACCTGTCCACCTGCTACAAACTGTTGATAAACCTAACCGGGCTGTTACTTCTCGGGTGGTCCCACCAGCTAAATGTGTACAGACGGTTAGAGTGTAGTTACAGCCAATGGGGATAATGAAAACTGCTCTTGACAGCAAGCCTGTGAGAATTGGGATGCTTTAAGGTACCTCTGGGTGGCTGCTGGGACTGCTATGTACCTACTTGAAGGTAGACACCAGTGTCTGGGGATCCTTCATCAGCAGGCAGTCCTCTGTGAGAAGGAGTTTTGGTCCCTGTAGTGGAACTTGTGATCTTGAACTCCAGAGCACCACTGTGTAACCTGGCTCAGCCCAGTCCCTTAATGCTACTAGAATTGTCCTATGGGATGGAATAAAATTCTAAGAATAACATTTCTATTTGTTTGAATTTATAAGTTCCCAACCCCATCCCACCCGCTGTCTCTAGTTGGGAATGGTTAGTCGTGTCAGACAAGAATTCTTTTCCTAATTAGGAATTGACATCAGTATGCCTTTATGCCAGATGACACAAATTCTTAAAAGCAAAAACCAAGCCCACATAAAAACAAAATCTTGAGCCCATGCTAATTTCCTAAAAAATTGTGAACAAATGTATACAGAAGGTTGACAGGAAAAACTCAGTTACTTAATGTTTGTATCCCAAAAATGTGTGGATACATTTTAATATATAATTTTGTTCTTTTGAGTTGGTTCTGACCCAGAATAACCCAGTAGGGTTTCTGAAAGTGGCTGATGGGTTGAACAGCTGACCTTTCATTTAGCAGTCCAGTGTTTATCCTATAGCACCATACCAAGGCTTTTATTTCAAAATTAGGTTCTACTTGTAATGACTTTTCATGAGAAAACCTCTTTACTTGTAGTGTTCCCTCTGCTCTTAGGAAGTGTTTTGTTGCCTTGCAGAGATGGACAGTTGCATCTAGGATCATGCTAATTAGCGGGGGCTCTGGGCCAAGTTGGTCAGCACTGTGTGGGGCTGACCTCTTTTTGTTGCTGGCAGGTGGAGTTGGGTGTTCCAACCTCCAAGCACTTTCTGGCAGGAAGAAATAAGAACTTGAAGCCTGTGAAAAGCTACCACTAACTTACCCACCTAAGACAAGGAAACAAAATTAGTTCACTGGGGTGAGGCAGGGCACTGAAGAGGCTTAGACTTAACTAAGGACCACTCGCTTCAGGGTGAGCTGTGTGGGTGGGACTTTGCCTTGACTTTAGCAATCCTAGCCTCCATAAAGATTTACAGCCTCAGAAATCAAAAGGAGCAGTTATACTCAGTTCTGTAGGGCAGTATGAGTCTGAATCAACTCGATTGGCAATGGGTTTTTTAGACTTATTAAAAGAGCTGTACCTGGTGGCACTGTGGCTTAAGTGCTTGGCTGCAAACAAGTTTGGCCATTTGAACCCCACTAGCCACTCTGAAGGAGGAAGTTGTGGCAGTCTGCTTCTATAAAGATTACGGAAACCCTACCAGGCAGTTTTCAGAATTGCCTCCAGGGTAGTAAGTTTGGTTAAGCTTCATTCAAACTGATTTTACACATTTGACTCCTATAAGGAGATGGAACTAGCCCCATTGTTTGAGCCTCATCAGTTCTGCGAAGGGTCTCAGCATGAAGCTGGGGCTATCATGAAAACAGAACGGTCTAGTGATTCAGAAATGGGCTTCACTCTCTACCACCTGGCCTTCATGACTGACTGACTTTCTGCCTCTTAGAGAAGCTAAGCAGTAACCAATCAAACAGTGCAAAGACCTCCAGGTGAACGGGGTTCTTTCCATAGAGCCCACTTTACTCAGACTCTGCTTTCACAACCCCTACCCCAACCAGATCTTGCTGCAGAGAAAACATCCCAACCACCTCAAGTATCTTACCTCCACCAGAAGGCAGTAACCAAAAGCAATAACTAACTATAGCACCTCAGAGTAAACATGTAGTTTTAGGGCACTACTTGGTGGACAGGTGGGCAGCAGGACATCTGTTTCCATAGTGATACAGACGCAGGTACTAACTAAACTGATAGCTGAATCTCCCCAGCCAAGACATTCTCTAGCAGAATCCATGTTTTATTATCATGAGTCTTGTTTTCCTATCATAAACCGTTCACTTATCATTGTACCAAAGACACTACCTTACTTTCTTCTCACACAGGTCAGTGTCCCTGCCTCTAGTTCATTCTAGTAGAGAATGAACTCACAGGGCCAGAGAGGTACAGCTGCAACACCAGGTTTCAGTTCGTCCTCTCTCTCTCCAGGACTATGAAAGTTCATGTCTGCCTGGATTAGATGAGAAACAGAATCTAGTGCATATGTGTTCCTGGAATAGTGAGAGCATGGAACCTTGCTAAAGACGTTTTCATAACCAGCTAGATAGAAGCCCGCGTTCTCTTTTTGAGTAGTGATGGTGGTTGAGTGCTATGGAGTCAGTTCTGACTCAAGGACTCCATACAGGGTTTCTGAAGCTATCAATCTTTATGGGAGCAAAAAGCCTCATTTATTTCCTGCAGAGTGGCTGTCGGTTTTGAGCTGCTGACCTTTCAAGTTAGCAGCCCAACTCATAACCCACTATGCTACCAGGGCTCCTTTCATTTTTGAGTTGTTTTTAGGTGCCATCGAGTTGGTGCCACTCATAGTGACCCTATGCACAACAGAATGAAACTGCCCGGTCCTGCACCAACCTCACAATCATTGCTACATTTATGCCCATTGCTGCTGCCACTGTGCTAATCTATCTCATTGGGGGTCTTCCTCTTCTCCTCCAATCCTCCATTTTACCAAGCATAATATCCTTCTCCAGGGATTGGTCCTTCCTGACAATATATCCAAAGTATGCGAGACGAAGTTAGGCCACCCTGGCTTTCAGAGAGCATCCATGGTAGTTTTAATATTTTCCTCTAACACCGTAACTTAGATGCACTGTGTAGGTACACAAAAACACCAAAGAAGTTCTTAAAGCTAATTTCTTTTCAACCTAATTTCACCTGGAGAATAGAGATAAGCTGTACCGTAAAATTTCAACTTGATTCTGATGCTGTATCAATGAAGGGAAAAAAATCTAGTTTACTTGGCAGGGATAGAAAAGACCAATGAGTTAGACCAGGCTAATTCATCATTTGTGGTGCTGAGTTAACGTACTGGACTGCAAAGTCGATTTGAACCGCAAAGTCAGTGGCGCATGTTCACCAGCTGCTCCTTGGAAATCCTATGTAGGGTCGCTATGATCGAAACCAACTCTTTGGCTAAAGGCTGAAGCAGCAATTGAAACAACAGCCTAGGGTCCCGAAGCCAGTCCCCAAAGTTGCCCAGCATGATCTCTATGCAAAGTCAAACATGGAACACTTAGTCAAAGCCAACTGTTTAGTTGCTGTTGTTGTTAGTGTCGTGCCGTCAAGTCGTGG